GTCCAGCTGCTCGCCCGCGTCCCACTGTCCTTCCGCATCATCAACAGGAGCTTCAACGAGAGCCTGCGTGACCCCACGTCGGAGCAGTACCGGAGCCTGAGCCGCACCGTCCTGAGCATGGTGAGTCCTGGGAGCTCTGCCCGCACCAGCAACCCCCCCCCGGCTGTGCCAGGGAGGAGCCCCCTCACCCTGGGGCTCACCCTGAGCATCTGCTCTGCCAGCGGCTCCAGCTGCGTGGGAATGGGAAGGGTGGGGTGTCTGTGGGGAGGTGACGGATGGGTGTCTGTGGGGAGGTGACAGATGAGGTGTCACCGTCACCCCAATGCTTCGTTCCAGTTTGAACACGTGTTCGGCTGCGCGGGCTGTGCGGGCACACAGACCTACATGGGGTGCAGTGAGCTGCGGTACAGGTGAGCAGTGGCAGTGTCCTGGCACACATATCCTGCCTGGTGCTGAGCCCCTCGGGGGGTGATCTGGGCACTGACACCTCCTCCCACACAGCCAGGGCTCGGTGGAGGTGCAGTCCACCCTTGTGTTTGGGAATGGCAGTGACACTGTCACCCCCAACGCTGCCGAGCAGCGCCTGAGGAAGAGCCTGGACCAGAATGGCTTCATCATGGGCCTGCAGCTGGACAGCATCCAGAGTGAGTGGGGGCTCTGGGACAGAGTGGGAGGGCAGATGGAGCCCGGGGTGGGGTCAGAGGGCTCTGCAAATGCTGCCCTGTCCTGTCTGGGGCTCTTTGGTGCTGAGACAAGCTCGGGGCTCACAGCAGGCAGAGCCAGTGCAGGTTCCCAGTGCCCACAGTGGGCAGCACTAGAAAGAGCAAGTGGACTCCGTGGGGGAGGGCTCAGCCCCTGATGCCCCATCCCGGGGGTCTCTCAGGGCTCTGTCAGTCTCTGCCCATGGTGCAGACTCAGCTCTGCTCCTTTCAGGCTCCACAGAGGTGACGTCCCCAGCACCGGTGCCCGTGGTCCCAGACTGGGCCATTGCTCTGCTGGTCCTGGTCAGCATCCTGGTGCTGCTGAGCCTCTTCACCTGCCTCCTCCTGATGGTGAGGTCCAATCCCCATCCTCACCCGTGTTCTGCCAGTGAGTCCCCTGTCCCCATGCCCCAGGCCCTGACCCCTTCTCTCTCCCCCAGTCCTCCTGCACTTGCCGCCGGAAAAGCCGAGGGAAGCTGGACCTGCTCAGCCAGAAGGATTCCTACCACCCCATGGCTGAGTACCTCCAGTACCAGAGCCACGGGCGCTACGTGTCCCCCAACAGCAAACCCAACCCCTACAGCCAGGTGAGAGCGAGACCCCCATCCC